TGTATACTAATCTTAATATATGGAATATACGGAGTGATATAATAAACGAGAAAGCCTAAAAGAGTAAACATGAATGTAAATAGAAAAAATAATTAATTAAAAACAACGTAATAATATTAATAAACAAGAAAAAGTTCACTTGACAACAAACGACACGGACGCGTCGCAAAACGGAAAAGAACCGCCATATTATTTGACACGCTGACAGTTGATGATACTTGTTGACAGTTGGTGTACAATTCTACTGTTGACAGTTGAAGTACGGTCAAAATTAAATGGCCGATTAGCAGAAATTAATGGCTCCTCTAATATATCCAATTTTTGTGTACTAAATTTAAATTTATGAAATGGTAATTGAATAGTGAATGTAATTAACTTCTCGTAGGGTTATAGTAAGTTATATTATTTACCAAAAAATGATTTTTTTATCTTTACGTTTCAATCTTCTGAACATTTTGACATACATTAGAAAAGATTAATGTATGTCTGTGTGTGTAGTATGTATGTATATACGGGGAAAAAAGTGTAAAGTGATTAAAGTGTATTAAAATAAACAAATGGGAGATTTTTGGAAAGATAGTTTTCGGAAATCAATGAAAAAAGTAAAAATCTGTTCACACACACACACACATTTTTTTTCAAATTTGGTCTCATTCGATTCAGAATGGCTTGAAACGTCGAGAAAACATAAAATTAGCATCCTCATGAAAATTGTGAGGAGTAGCGTTTCAGAGTTTTGTGTGACGATCGGCCGAGCCGTTTCTTTGTAAATCGCAGAAAAGTGAAAAATTTTTCGTCCACGTTTTAGCCCGCAATTCTTAATCGATTTTGAAAATTCAAAAACCGTTCGAAAGATATTGGTTGGGAATCGTGCTGATCAGTTTTTGGTAAAGATCGGCCGGGCCGTTTTCTTGTAATAAAGTTTTAAAAAAAACTTCGCCGATTTTTATTATTATTTTTTTGACGGTAGATACCATAGTCTTCTAGATCATACTAAAATATTATAGCCCTACGACAACTGGTTTAGTTTTAAAAATTCATCAAAGTTTGCAAAAATTAGTATCGTTCTTTTGGCATTTGTCAAAATTAGACCATTGATCGACGTTTTCTCAAAAATGCCTGAACCGATTTCAGAAATTTAAAAGCCATTTGATGTATCTCAATAAGGACTATCGTTTGTTAGTTATTTGAGACGATCTGCAGGACCGTTTCTTTGTAATTTAAAAAAAAGTGTTAAACTTTTAGTCCACATTTAAGCTCAAACTACCGAACTGAAATATTTCGGTCTTGCGACAAGTACATAGTATAATTTTAAAAATCTATCAATGTTTTAGAAAATGAGTAGTTTTTTGACATTTGTTAATGTTACAATTAGAGGATTTACTTGGTATAACGATAGCAGTACTTGGTCTTAATGGACATACTAAACCATTAGAGTCCTGCTGAAACTGATTCAATTATATGAATTGTTGATTTTTGAAAATTTGCTTTTAGAAAATACTCAGAGTTAACGTGTTCATTCGCTTTTAATTATGTGTACTAGATCCACTCAGAATACTTTTAATCGTTCATAAATTAATTTGTTTATTATTGATTAAGTCAATTATTTACACATATCGGGAAGTTCATGTAACTTGCCTCAAGGCTAAATACCAACACCAACTAGTTTTATTTTGCATTTTGTTAAAATGAATTTGTTTAACAAAAAGAACGCAAAATTATTTTAGTGGCAAATGAATTTTCAACAATGATCTAAAATTAGCTCAGAAATTATTAAACTTATCTCTAACGTATGAACAAAAGAATGATTGTGTTGTGTTCATGGTATGAATTTTATACATATAAAGAACAACTACTAATGTCTTTTTACAATTATGATAAGAAGATTCAATAAATTATTTTTTGTCATTTTAATGAATTATGCTAATATTTAAAGGATTTAATGTTGTTTATATTTTTCAAATTTAATGACACTCATAAATATTTCTTATGGTATATGTACCTATTGTAAAAATATTTCATAGTAAATATTTAAATTGACTGATAATTGAAATAAATATATTCTATAAATAAACGCATTCAAAAGTGGTAAACCTTCACTCTTGTTTGTGAATGCAATTTTGAAAGCGAGAAATTTCAAAAAGTACAAAGTTCTTAAAATATTTGGACTTAAAAGTGAGGCAAGAGCGTTGCTTTATAATAGTATTTAGTAAATGAGTATTTCATACCAAGTTATATGGGTAATAAAGTAACTTTAATTATTGTTAAGTATCTATAGGAAGAATTAATATTAATCAGTAAAGTTGTTAAAACTGAACAAAAAAATGAAAACTTCATAATATAGTGCCAAGGGAAAAGGTTGTGGAGTTTTTCTCAATAAACGGCGTTAGTTACAAATAAATCAAGAAGCACAAATTGCTGCGACACCAGTAATTGTTCGTGATATGGATAAGGTAACACTATGAGCATTATTATAAGATTACAGCTATCAGAATTGGAAAAGTCGTTGGAAAGTTATTTGCGTTCGAAATTGGAGAAAAAATATGAAAAATTGTACTATATTTTGCCATATTATTATGCTAAAGTAAAAGTGTTGCGCAGACTCGTGAAAAGAATTATGCTGTATACGACGAAGGCACTTTATCAAAATCTGCTGCGCGGAAATAGTTTGCTCCCTTTTATTCTGGTAATTTTAATGTGAAAGATGACCCATATTCTTATCAATAAATTGATAAAATATTTGTAAAAATATATCATTATAGACATATAAGAACTACCAATAATGGTATTGTTGACGCCTAAAGCTCAACCCTGTTCTAAATGATTCAAATAAATTTTAATACCTTTCTAACAGGATAAGTATCATAAAACCAAATCCTTCATTTTAATGTATTCTGTCCCTTGCAGACCCTCAAATATTAATCCTTCCTTCTAAAAAATCTTTTTTCCTTGAACTCGTTTCAATCAAATTGATTGGACAAAAATGTAATGAAATGTCTCTTAAATCCGCATAACGGACCAATCAGAAAAATATAAAATTATCAAATCTTTTTAATAAGTATTAACATAAATTTTAACTATGCATCTTAAGTAATATGTAAAACTTCATCTAAGTAATAAGTCTATATCAACATTCAAACTAGTAACAAGTAATTCTAACTCAACTTTATATGAATGTCTTTCTAAATTGGTCTTTTGACAACAGCATCTCGGTGAATCACGAGCTTCTATCTATCTAACATCTTTAATCTATCTATCATTTTTATATTATCTGGTTAGAGTTTATGCAAAAAACGATTTCAGAAAACCGGTTTTCGAATTTTAATTTTACTAAAAAATCGGTTTTAGCCGGTTTTCGAATTTTATATAGAAAGTAAATTTTTTATTTATATATTATTTATTGTTCAATTTTATGGATAGTAAACAAAATTATTTTAATTTTAATTAGTAGAACTGAAGATTAATAGTTTATCTTGATTAAATAACTTTGAAAATAATTATTTGTTATTCATGCATCATTTTCACATATAAAAATGAAATTATTTTTATGATAGTGAAAGGAAAGTTTTCGAATAAATAAAAATAATAAAATTATAAATAAAAAACATTCATTAAATTAAATACAATATTAGATACACGTTGATACATAATTGTCAATATAAATCTTAGTTTTAAAAACAGTTAAGCTGAACTCGGATATTGCCTGTTCCAAGCAATTTTAATTAATTAATTTTAAACATTCTAATTGTTTTTTTGTTTGATAAAATGTGATTTCAAAAATCGAATTGCTACTTAGATGTGTCCTTTGTTTACGCACAAATTTTCTTAAAAAAGAAAATACTCTCATATTTGCGACCGAATTATGCTTAATTGTTTTAAAATCCTGATATAATAATTCTAAGTTTTTTGTTCTTTTATTTATGGCTTCTAGGGCTTAAAACTCTTTTTTTAAGTTTGAGTAGAGAAAGCCACTTCAAGAAGAAGCCACACTGATTTAAATTAATATATACACTGGTATAAAAATCTAAATTAATATATACAAAACCTTTTTGGAAATCATTGCAGAATGATAATATATCAAAACGCTTTCATCTATCTTTTATATTTGGCTATATTTGTCATTTTCCATTTATACAGTGAAAACCGACTTTTTTCACTAAAAAAACGGTTTTCGAATTCCATAATTTTCGCCAAAAACGGGTTTTTAAAACCGGTTTTTGAAAACCGACAAACCCTATATCTGGTGTCATAATATGCTATATATTGACCAGAAAACTGTTTTGAACTATATACATAAATCTGGCAACAAAAACATATGCTCAACGTATGCGTCTCTCAAAAGTTGAGCGAAAAATTAGATCTAATTATCACCTGCGATACTCAGTGAAATCAAGCCATTTCTGAAATGTATAAAATTTGGCGATAAAGAATAAATCACATCCAAAAATAGGAGAAGAAAAAAATTATGGTTAAGTAATGATGAATAATCACAAGCGTTCAAAAAGCCAGGATTGACACCGTAAAGGGTGATGCTGTGTGTTTGGTAGCACTGAAAGAAAATCGGCCACTATGAGATACTTCAGGTAGGCCAGACGATTGATTTCCAACACTGCTGTGAACAAATAGAGGGACTATGCCAGGCAATTGATAGAAAACGGCCGGAATTGATGGCATTGTTTTTCATTACAATGCGAGGTCATGGTTGAGAAATTTTGTTGCATCCATCGTATAATCCAGAGTATGTCTGGAATCCAAACATAGCTCCCCACTGACTAACACTTGTACCGATCTCTGCAGGATTCTATCGATGGGATTAAATTGATTTCAAAAGTATAAAATTGAAAAAAACTCCATGAACTTTTTTCTTGGCTCTTGACATAATATATTATGCCCATTAAATTAAATTGAATTTGTAATAAGTACCATTTTACTTTACAGATTGCCATGACTTGACAGATTCTTATGGTTAAAATTTTGTCACAATATATGAAGGATGTAGCCGGTCAGAGAAGCCGCCTCTGCGAGAATTATGTGAGGCGGATGGATTTAACTTTATCTTCAGGTAATGATTCTTTTAATATAGAAGAATGTCTTTCAATCAGGGATTTATTACTCGCTAACTTTTACCACGCCGATAATAGTTCTTGTAAATCTTCAATAGTAGAGCTTACGGATGATCAACTTTCTGCCTTTTTATACAGGGTGTCTACGACCTTGACGTCAAGTCGAAACGGGGTGATAGTATTGATTTTTAATGTCCTGAAAAAAATTAGAAAAAAAAACTCACGTTGTTTGGAAATTATGAACTTTTAAGTGCAACCTAGATCTTTGATGGAATTATGACTACTTTTCGGTCATTGTAGTTAATTTTGACTAAATTTGTTCATTTAAACTTTGGAACTCACAACCGTGAATAAAATTTCTAGAACCAAAATAAAAAACAATAACACAATTCTCCAAGTTTTCAAGAAATAAAACTTTTTGTTGAACTATAAATTAAAATTTAAAAAATCGGTCCATTCTGAGAGGTTTTCTAATGTTACACAAAGGGTTAATATTTTTATTAATTATTATAAGTATCTTAAAAGGGAAATATACAAATTTGATTTGATTGCAATAGTTGCAAAATCTACACCATAAAAAAGTGGTGTGTTCACAATATTATACAACGATTTACTAAATGTTCTTACTAAATATTTATTCAGGGATTTATTCAAATAATACTTCATACTCATTAAATATTATTCTAATCCAATTTGGCATTCCGCAATCTGGCTAATTAAAATCTTTATATCAATCAGTTATTATACATTTGTTCAGATTAATTTTCTGATAGTTTTCAAATATGTCTTGCATGAACAATGATATCGTATGCAACATTTTTATTAGGTACCTATAGACATCGAAAAAAAATCGAAAATGAAATTTTTTTGAAATATTAGAAAAAATGGATGTATGTGAGTGTGTATGTATGTGTATATCGTATGTATGTGTGTATGTTTGGATATAATTTTTCATCCACGATTTTGAGAGGTTTAGATAGAGTTTAAAAAACATTCGATTCCTATTGACGATTGATTAAAGCAGGTCCAATCTTTGCAAAAATATTGAGCAAAAAGTGCAAAAAATGGCAATTCAGTTTTTGAGAGAACGGAGCGTCAGATTAGAATAATTCAAAAAACATTTTACTTTGGCTGACGGAATGAAGAATCAATTAAATAATTAGAAAGGCAAGTCCAGCGGTTTCGAAAATTGAGAAAATAATGTTAAAAAAAATTAAAAGTACAGATGTTGTTTGCATTTTGATACTTACGCACCCTGACATTTCTTCTCAGTTACGCGGCGCAGTAGGTGTTTGCAAAAAGTTTAAGATATTGTAAATTGATTTTTTTTTTTCAAAAGTTTTAAAAATGTTTAGCTTTTGCTGTAAAATGTCTTGCAAATTGGTGTAAAGCATAATGGTTTAATTAGCAAATTATAGTGTGAAATAGGATATTTTAATTATAACTTATAAAGTCAGTTTACAAGTCCTTTTCTATTTAATTTTAAGTATAGTTTATAATTGTTTTTAAATGTTGGTATTCTTCGACAGTGAGTTGGTGTTTGGAGCAAGTGGGAGCGGCGTGATAGATGTTCGGAACAAAGTTGCGCTCGTGGATGGAGGCGCACATCGTGCGACCCCGCCGCAAACAGTCGAGAGCAGCCAAAGATGCAGCGGCCACTGCCATTAATCGGCAACAAAAAAAGCAGAATGACGAAACGATAGTAATAATATATTTTTTTAAAACTCATAAGTATAGTAGACCAAAGAAAGAAACAAAACGGAATGATAATTACAATGCAAGTCTTTCTGAGGCTAAGTAAGCACACGCACACACACATACACACGCGCATAAATATACATATATATATATATATATATATATATATATATATATTTATATTAGGTTGGGAAAATTGAAATACATTATTTTTATATGAACTTCAGGACTTTATTTAACATTTGATTACATTTGGGTCAAATATGCACCATTTTGTTCGTAAATTTGTTGCCATTTTGAAGGTAATGTAACTATGCCTCTCTCATAGAAACCCTTACCCCTGGCAAAAAATTGAAAAGTCGATTTCTATAAGCCTATCTCAAACTGAACTTTTCTCCAGCAAAACTGTTCACCATGGACAGAAACAGATGGTAATCGTTTGGTGCCAAGTTTGAACTATGAGATAAATGCATGTAAACCTCTGGCCTTGTCCTGATGTGACACCATTTTTTTTATTGGCCAAAGCTGGGCGATTGATCCTTTCAGACATTTCACTGATTGACCCTACAATTCTGAGTTAAGAGTTTTGCCATGAGAGAGTTCACATTCAAACCCAATTCTGGTTTTGCCACCATTTCGTCAAACTCACCGCGATTCGATCAGGACAGTTTTTGCTTCACGTCGTTTTAAGTGATCCAGTCATCTTTTATTGATTTTCTTTTAGTATCCAGCCTTATTGAAATGGCGCCAAATAATTTTTTGTAAAATTTTTAGCTTTTGGGCAATCGAAATCGACTTACATGATGGTTGGACTTCATGATTTTTTTGAAATTTTCGACAATTGGCCATCCAGTACGCATGCGTTTTTGAAAAAGAAATTAGCCGACGGAATCGGCGAAACCAAAAATTTAGCTTTTACAGAATCAGGACCATAAACAATATTCACATTTTCAGTCGTCTATCTTGCATTTTTGCCGTTATCGAACAAAAAGTGTAAAATACTTCGTATTTTCTCTTTGCTAGGGTCAATTTTTGATGCGCGCTCAAACAAACTGAGCCAATCAATTACACAACTGTCTAATTATTTTTTTAGGACGTAATCTCATCTTTCTAGCGCCGCCTATTAGGATCTGACTTATACAAGCTGAGAGATACATAGTTGAAATAACTAACTATTGCAAACATAATAGATTTCTTTTTCCCTAATCTAATATAATTTGATAGATAAGTCCTGAATTGTATCAATAAATTGATATATGTTTCTTTTCTGAACAACTAATTTAATAGGTAAAGAACAATTCGGTTTTTGTATATGTTGATTACGACGTTTTTGAACTAAATACGTTCCATCATCAGGTTTTTCTGTCAAAAACAATTTTTATATAGACTAACAATATTAATGATGATGATTAGAAAGTATGAAAAAATTATAAAGGAATGGTTTATGTACCTCCAAAACGAACAAATAAGCTTTTATTGTACTTCAGAAAGAATCAAATCATAAATGAAATCTATTGTAATTTCAGCAAACGCAATGTGCTGATCAGACTGGATACTCAACGCTCAGTGCCTCAAACACTGGCGAATCATTGCATCGCGATGCATCGGGCAGTACGATTGCTCGTGTTGGCTCCCAGGGGGGTGCATTGGGTGCCAGTCTCTCTTCACCGGAAAGTGCGTACTCGACAGGTTACTCGACTGACGGTACTTCGCCAGGCGCAGCAGCTCCGCCGGAGTACTATATCAACATCCGTACTGGCACTCACTACTTTCAACGCGCACGAGATTCAGATGTGCAGAGTGCGGTCCAACGAACGGACCAGCTGAAAAATACTACTCTCAAGGTAGGTTAATCAGACAATAAAGATGTAATATTATATAGCTTCACAAACGTAAATATTTGCAAACAATAAATTATAGCACCTTACTTTTTAATAAAATGATTTCAATGATTACAAATAGTATTGTGCTGAAAAAAGAATAATCATTTGGAAAGATAAAAAACATTCAAACAAAGTAATTTGCTAATTGATTCTGCTGGCTGCACTAATAGTAGAAGAGCCAGTAAACTATTTGACTAACCTGTTTTCACAAAGCTAGAAATTTTTTAAATGATATTTCATTGTCGGTCCATTAAGGGGTTAGGGGTACTTGGAGGCACGAAAAAATGAGAATTTTCAGTATTTTTTTTGTTATTAAACGATGTTTTTACAAAAATATTAATACAGCATTATTGTACAATGTTTTGACTTGAAGTAACAAAAATTTTAGAAAAAAATATTAAATATTCCCAAAGTTATAGCTGTTTTTGTTGACCCTGTTTCAAAAAACGGTCCTGGCGGTGACCATCATAACTCCTTAGAGATTCATCTAAAATCAATCAAATAAAAAAAATAGTTTTATAAATAGATAATCCGGGGCCTGATCGAAGGTTTTCTTTTTTTTGCAAAAAATCAGAAAAAAGAATTTTTGCAAGAAATAAAAAAAAAATTAGATTTTGAGGTAAAAAATCAACAGTTAATTGGTCTTAAAAAATTAAAATTTTTGAAAAAATAAAAATCCTTCGATCAGGCCCGAGATTATTATATTTCATTAGAATTTACTAAGCGGTTTTTGAGTTACAGTGGTCACCGGTTCAAAAAACATAGTTTTGAGAAAAACGCGTTTAAAGTTTCACATTGGATTTACGTTCAGAAATTCGAATTATTGAATTACCTAAACCGAGTCATCTATTTTTAGGCCATATAATAATTCATCAGTCATTGTGCAAGTTTCCAAAATTTCCATTTTCTGTTTTAATAGTCACGACGCACAAGGGTATGGGCATTGCCATACATAATCGGCTCTACCCTCGTATTTAAATAATTTATAAGCAATTTTGAAGGTCTTCTTGAAAACATCCGATATACCCATCTTCAACTTTACGGCCGAGATATAATTGAAAATATGCCTAAGTGACCTCTTTTTCAAACTAAAATTTTGGCGTAACCATAAAAGATATCGAAAAAGAAATTACGTGATTCTACTCACATTGGCTTAGACATGTGGTCTAATCAATGTAGATTACTGATGCTAAATAATCATTTATCATTAGCTAAAAGGATTAAATAAATTAATGTTTTCGGGTAGTGCGTTTCGTTTGATTACTTTCTTATTAGCGTTATTCGAAGACCTATTGTTTTTCTTTTAGTACTGCAAATATTGTTCAAATCAAATTTGTGCAGCTAGTACACCCGCGCGTAACGCTAATAGTACCCTGCATCACGCACTGCTTCCCGACAGAACGAATTATCTGACATCTTTACAACTATCTGACCAGGTTCAGTAAAACTCCCACTTAATTCAACATCAGAAATGTGTTTTTGCTGCTTTTCAAAAATTTGTCATATGGTCCTTTTCATCCAACAGGTGGGATAAAAAGAGAGGTCTTGGAGGCAAACAGGTCCAATGTCTTATGCAAAATATTTCATGGGTATATGGGTATAGTTTTTACAGAGATAACATTATATATAACCTTAATCTGGTATTTCGTCAGAAATAGATTAGCAGTGTGCGCATAACTATTAATTTATTTAATTTATCTCTTGAAAAATTGATTTTTTAACTTAATTTACTTTTTTATTTTAGCTTTTACTTTAGCAAGCTTTTACAGAGGTTGTATAAAAAACTGTTGAATATATCTTAAAACTAACAATACATCTTAAAAAACGATTAAATAACGTTTGCTTAAAATTAAGGTCTCGTAAACTAAACAACAGTGCTCACAACCATAAAAACTAACAACGAAAGAAATTACTTTTGTTATGGATTTTCAAAAATTGCCATTTATCTTCCAGTCGCAACGACTTAAGAATCAAGTTGATTGCTTGATTGGTTATTTTCAAATATCGTTGTTAAAAAATCTTAACTTTACTTGTTTTTGTGATATCGGCGGAGGACCTTTCTATCCGGGGACCTTTAAGCCCCTCTCTACCTATATATACTTTAGTGTATTCAATATTTATGATGATACATAACTTTTAAAAATATAATTCTAGACGCCCGATGCGGTAGTTCAGAGTAGACATCGACGAGCTGAATCATGCTGCCCGCCATCTTTCGACAATGTACAAGGATCTAAACTTCTAGTATACCGCTCACCATTGCCTTCTGTTAAAAATTTAGATGGCAACACACCAGCTGTTGTTATTCAAGCACCTCCTTCGGTTCTCGGGGCTGCCACTTCTCCGTCTCCAAGGCAGCGCAGCAGAATCCGAACAAACCCTTGGATGACTGGATCAACATCGAGGTAAATAAAGAATTTTTGTATTAATACCGATATATGAATCTTGTCAAATGGGTTGGAGGATCTTTTCATGAAATCAACAAGTCATGGTTAGTAGGGTATAAAAATATAGTTGTTATTGATAATAATGTTTGAGTAGTTCGAGTTGCCCAATTAGATTAATAGATAGCAAAAGATAGATTCGCGTCTATTTAGTAGGCGAGATCGTGATCTCTTAATCTTTTTTTACTGATATTTCAATTTTTAGCTGACTGGGCAAATAAATAGCGAATAAAAATAAATGAAAACAAATCGATGCACATAACGTTTTTTCTTTGAGAAAGGGCAATTGCCCCCCAAAAAATTACCGTCAAATATCTCGGATTGTATCTGGACAGAAAATTAAGTTGGATACCGCACATAGATAAAAAAGCCAAGCAAATTGAAAACAAAAGCAAGTCCTTATACTGGCTCATAGGTCGCAAATCTAAGTTGTCACTAGAAAATAAGGTCCTTATCTATAAAGCTATCATAAAACCTATTTGGACATATGGGGTTGAGCTATGGGGCTGTGCAAGCAAAACACGGATTTTCATCATTCAGAAGGAAGATCAGAAGAAGGAAATATACTGTGCAGGAAGTAGTCCAAAGAAGAAGTGATTTAAATCATGCCAGACTACGGACTCACATGAACCCAACCGTTTCTCGGCTTCTAGCAAACCCCGGTATAAGGAGGCTCAAAGAAAAGCAATCTAGAGATATCATATAAGAAAGTAGAAATATCTCTCTGGAGATCCATCCAATGAAGATTAAAAATTATAGCCCAATAGCTTATAGAATGAATAGAAACTGTTCTGATTGCCATTAAATGTAAATAAAAAAATAAATAATAATATAGAAATAGCAGTATTGGTAAGAGGTGATGAAACACCAGTTTTTATTTGTAGTCAGTATCGGAAATTCGTTTTTGTGGAAGCACACATAAAGCAATTTTTTTTCATCTTTAATAGTAGAGTTTAACCGAAAAGACAAATTTTAGTTAATACGCAAAAAAATAAAACGGGTAGTTTTGGACTATATAAGGCAATCCTAATTAAAATCACTGTCTTATAAGTCTATGCATCTCATATTTACCTCCATATCAGAACCTTCGTCTTTTCGTGGAGCGTTACTGCCCACGTACTTCTAATTTTTTTTAGCGTAACATAAATATTATTGAAATTGCATTCTTTAAATAAATGTATAATATTTCGGTTTTATTGTTTTAGATTGAGTTCTGGAATCAGCAGTTCTGGAACTGCTTTGCCAGCGACTACTTTGTCCACTTGCAACTCATCGAAAACAAGTTTCAATGGTAGTGAAACTACCTCTTGTCTGAGTGCTAGTAGTTCATCGTGTTTAGCTCTTTCCAACAGTGCCGGGGAAAGTGCAAAAGAAACGAATGGGCCTATTTCTTCTGCAAATATTAACCCATCGGGGAAAGTTTTTACACCGATCTCAAGTAGACGCCAATCGCCTCGAGTGTCAAGACAACATATTATAAGTCCGAAGAGATATACGCGTGTATCAGGTAGAGAGAATATATTTTTTTGAAAATACCTTTTATTATTATTATAAAAAATCAAATATGTTTAACGCGATTTTGATTAATATGCACGTAAAATCGATAAATTGATGTATTTACATAGCCTAACATAATATCACCAGCATTTTACGATAAAAAATTTATATAACTAGTTATAAGTGGAAATTTGCCATTAAATCAAGTTGCAGGAACTTCCCGATATATTTAAATAATGGACTTAATCAATAAGAAATCAATATATTAATTTATGAATGATTTATAAGTATACCTAGATGCTGTAGACCGTCATTATGTGAGAAACTATTGAGGATTATTCAATTTTGTAAAATATTTTTTATTAAACATTATTGAAAATCGAACATATGCATAATACATACATGGTGTACTTTCTGAAAGTGCGGCTGATGAACCCAAATTCTTTTTATCGTCATAATAAACAGTTCCATAGAAATCATCGAAGAAAAATTTCAGAAAGCCCGGTCGATCGTTACCAAAAACTCATCAGCACGATTTTCAATCAATATTTTTCGAACAGTTCGTGAATTATAAAAATCGATTCAAGATTGTGGCTAAAAAACGTCGAAGAAATTTTTTACACCGGTTGTCGCGTAAAACTAATTTAACGCAAGTTATTATCGAATTGCATCGAATTGCTTTCAAAATTTTAAATCGGTTCAGTCGTTTTTGAGAAAACTTCGACGAATGGCAACTTTTCTTTCCGAAAAAAAGAAAAAGATAAAAAAAATCTACTTTAATAAGGTAAGGTTTTTTGTGACACTACATTGATTTACAATTTTTAACTTTCTTCTTAACGAGGGTAAGTTATAGAGATCGCAAAAAAATTAAAATGTAATCATTCGATTCTTGTTGATGGGGATACGAGCTGATTAGTTGATTAGTCTGGCCGTTTCGAAGATACGGGGAAAAAAGTGTAAAAATTGTAATTTATTTTCATATTGCGGAAATATAAATTTCACGTTGTTAATATAAGTCTGTGGATTTTTACTTTATTAATTATTCTGTTTTACTATTAAATGCAGAAAGTATTATATTTTATTTGTAAAACGACATCAACGACTATAAACGACTATTATAGTAAAAAGATAACGATTTCCTTTCAAGTTTATTGTACCTAGGAGTTAGAGGATCTAGAAATCTGATTATTGGATTGTAAATTTATATAACTAGTTCACTATATTGAACCGGTTGTTCACGCCAAATTAGACGTGACAACGTTGAACTCATATTTCTCAGAAAATATTGCATTTTGCAACGACGCATAAAGCTTCGCATCTCAAGATTCAACTACGAAGGGTCCTGCTAGGTACCTGAAGGCGGCACATAGGCATAGTCTAGACCCGGTCGCCAAACTATCAGCATTCAAATACTCCAATATTATTTCAATACTCAAACTATATCATACAAACAATGTGAAGTTATATATTACAATAAATTAGTGCAATCTTCTTGTTATTAATTAATCTTTACAATCAAACGGTCGATAGAGCCACTAATTCTATCTGGTCCTTGAGCTTACAACTTCAACAAAAAACACCGGTAATACCGGTATTTATATTATTCTAAAAAATGTAAACAAAATTGAAATATTGAGTAAATTTGATAAATAAACCTAATATAAATAAAAAATAAAAACATAGAAATAAAAGATGAAGTTTGTAAAAATGTCTTGACAAAAGTATAGATAGTTTCCTGTATCGCCAAAAACAGTTTCATAAAGAATGTTATTAAGTATATTTTATGAAAATCAGATTTTTTTCGCTATTAATTTCAAATCCGATACTGTGTTTTAATAAACAAAACATGAACTAGTTCTTATGATTAATAATAATAATTAATTTATTATGTACAAAGTTAGAACAAAAATGAAGATTACCCAGTGGTAAGCTTTATTTTATAGATTTTGCTATTTATGGTATAAAATATTTTGGCGCCGATGTCAAAAAAAAAACGTTACATTTTCAAATGAGAGTATATCTTATCTTATCAAATGAGAAAATATATATCTTATTACTCCGTATTAGTGGGTACCCACTTAGTAAATTATCAGAATATTTGCTGAATGTCTTTGTGATAGTTTGTAATTTAAATAGAAAATAATAAAAATATCAGTACGATTCTATTTATTGTGACACGGTATGAAGCTCTTTGGAAAGCAATAAATATTCAGTTTAATAAAAAGTTGAGATAATATTTTGCTACTTGTTTATACAATAGAACGACCTAAAAAATCATGTACTTCAAGCGATTATGAAATTTAAAGTTTGAAGGTTCCGAAAAACATAAATTCAAGTGTAACATATATCAACTAGCTAGTAGCGCCTATGTTTCCGTACTGAAAATACCGGTATTTTTAATGCAAAAGTAAGCACATACCGCCGAAAATTTATACGGTACACCGGCTTTTTAGTACACCGGTATCATATTTCCTTAACTATTAGATATTTTATTAGGTTACTATCAAAAATTTTATTTGTATGTCTAAATAATGTTTTATAATCGATTAGGTAAATATGACGAGAGTTACGTATACGAAAAAGAAACGGATATTCTCAGTGATAGCGACCCTACTGATTGCGAACAGGATTTAATGGGTTGCGGAGTGGGTTACAATTCAGATACTGGGGGCGAAGAAGCTGGGGATGAAGATACGGCTTTCGACGAAATGGATTACATCGATGCAGAGTGCGGATACACGACTCTGGATGATGCTAACGACTTTAAATTCAAGAATACTGGAAGATGTACTTACCACGGATATCATGAGGTAATGGATAAATTTTGGTTATCTTTTGTTTTAGATCTTCGATAGTTTTAAAGCATGGGTTTTCCGTGGCTCGGTATAAGCTTCAAATTAGTAATTATAAGTTTAATATCCGCTTCGGACAGTCTGATGTAAAGCAGTATGACATCGATTTTTACTTGAAAATATATATATATATATATATATGTATCCAAGTGAAAAAAGCTTTTCAGCATTGCTCTGTCAAAAAGTGAATCATATGTCAGTACTATTAGAGACATCCTTATGTAATAAAATATATCAAACTTAGATAAGGTCTATAAATAAAATCTAATTTATAAGAAAATCATCACAACAAGCGTTAACATTTTGTCAAAAATGGTGAAACGTTTTTAAAATTTTAAAAGCCATTCGATGAAACAAGGTATATTAGTTTTTTGCAACGATCGGTAGATTAGTGCAAAACTTTTAGACCACGTTTTTGCCAATTATCTCTTATTTGATCTTGAAAATTTTAAAAATGTTCGAAATATATGATTAGGAGACCGTGCTGATTTGTTTTTGATTGAAGAAATTTAGTTTGACGATTTTAATAAAATTTTGCAATTATTGTCTAAACAAAAATCCTAAAACATCATAGACCTACGAAATGTGATTTAATTATAATTACTCATTAAAGTTTGTGATAATTAACTTTATTCTCAAAATGAAGAGTGAAGATTTTATTATTTCAGTTTTAAAAGATAGCATCTCACAAATCATTGAGTTGGATCAGAAAGTTCAAGCAATTTGTCTGAAGCTAAAATATCACTTACAATTAGTTTAACATTGATTTCAGGTGATACCACCTATTTTGGCGACGGATGCTGCAGCACGACGAAGAGAATGCTATTTGCGACGAAGCGCTAGGAGGTATATATTATATGCAACGATTTTTAGGTTTTCATAATAAGTAATTTATTTATATCAAGTCCAAGTTTCCAATTTTTTTAAATTTAACTTTTTTTGCCTTAAGCGAAATATATATTTGATATAGAGGATAGATAATCTGTAAGATTTTATAATTAACTTCCCGCAGGGCAAAACCTTCTGAACATTTTGACATACCTTAGAAAAAGTGAATGTATGAGTGTGTGCGTGTATGTATACATATTTTCGACGACGATTTCGGGAACACGGATGAAGCGATTTAAATAATTCAAAAAACATTCGATTTGTATTGATAAGGAGACGTGCTGATTAGTTTTTGGCGAAGGCAGGTCCAGCCGTTCCGAAGATATGGGGCAAAAAGTGCCAAGACGGTAACTCAGTTTTTAAGAGAACCGAGCGTCCGATTTGAATAATTCAAAAAACATTTTACTTGTATTAAGTACTGCTCAAATTTTCATGAAGGCAGGTCTGGAGGTTTTGGAGATAAAAAAAAGTGCCATTACATCACAACAAGCGTTAACATTTTGTCAAAAATGGTGAAACGTTTTTAAAATTTTAAAAGCCATTCGATGAAACAAGGTATATTAGTTTTTTGCAACGATCGGTAGATTAGTGCAAAACTTTTAGACCACGTTTTTGCCAATTATCTCTTATTTGATCTTGAAAATTTTAAAAATGTTCGAAATATATGATTAGGAGACCGTGCTGATTTGTTTTTGATTGAAGAAATTTAGTTTGACGATTTTAATAAAATTTTGCAAAGTGATCATTTATTGTCTAAACAAAAATCCTAAAACATCATAGACCTACGAAATGTGATTTAATTATAATTACTCATTAAAGTTTGTGATAATTAACTTTATTCTCAAAATGAAGAGTGAAGATTTTATTATTTCAGTTTTAAAAGATAGCATCTCACAAATCATTGAGTTGGATCAGAAAGTTCAAGCAATTTGTCTGAAGCTAAAATATCACTTACAATTAGTTTAACATTGATTTCAGGTGATACCACCTATTTTGGCGACGGATGCTGCAGCACGACGAAGAGAATGCTATTTGCGACGAAGCGCTAGGAGGTATATATTATATGCAACGATTTTTAGGTTTTCATAATAAGTAATTTATTTATATCAAGTCCAAGTTTCCAATTTTTTTAAATTTAACTTTTTTTGCCTTAAGCGAAAATATATTTGATATAGAGGATAGATAATCTGTAAGATTTTATAATTAACTTCCCGCAGGGCAAAACCTTCTGAACATTTTGACATACCTTAGAAAAAGTGAATGTATGAGTGTGTGCGTGTATGTATACATATTTTCGACGACGATTTCGGGAACACGGATGAAGCGATTTAAATAATTCAAAAAACATTCGATTTGTATTGATAAGGAGACGTGCTGATTAGTTTTTGGCGAAGGCAGGTCCAGCCGTTCCGAAGATATGGGGCAAAAAGTGCCAAGACGGTAACTCAGTTTTTAAGAGAACCGAGCGTCCGATTTGAATAATTCAAAAAACATTTTACTTGTATTAAGTACTGCTCAAATTTTCATGAAGGCAGGTCTGGAGGTTTTGGAGATAAAAAAAAGTGCCATTAGACATATGCACATCAAATTATCAGATATTTTATAGAGATTTTAACAATAAGTATAAATTTTGTTTACATTCCTATGGATTCCGTACGAATGTTTATCCGTTAGACGGCGACGCGGCGCTTACGCGCTTCGGTATTTCATCTCTATGCAGTTAAAGCAATACGATTGCTTTGAAAAAAAGTTCAGGATTTTCAAAATATTTCAAAATAAACTTTTCTTCAAAGTTTTTTTTTTTTAAAAAAAAGTAAATTTTTGTCAAAAATTTATAGTTTCTCTAAAATCTAATTTTTTCAGAGTATTTTTTTTCAAAATTGTTAATCTTTTCAAAAAAAAAATTTTTGGTACGGGAAGTTCCAGCAATTTGCCTTAAGGCACGATGCCATGCGCCCTAGTTTTTTTACTACTTGGGCTAATAAAAATAGTGCTAAATAAAACGTATTATTTTGCAGCGATTTTCACCCATGCGCTCTGTTCAACATTCAATACCTTATAATTAAAAAAGTAAATTGAGTTAAAAAAGCAATTCTGCAAGAGATAAATAAAATAAATAATTATTTCAAGTCATGGTTATATAAAGCGTTATCTCTGTAAAAATGTATCCAGGAAATTTATATTTTGCATTCGTTGAATAATATACCTATTGTTGCGTAAAATCTCTTTAAAATCAAAAATTTGACATTGGACCTGCCACCTGGCGGTCCCATTTTACGCGAAAAAATAACACAAGCCCACGGTGATTACATGAGGCAGTTTTGCTTAACATAGTCAGATATTTGTTCTTTGATATGTGTTATTTGTTGTGACATAATTAGTTTGCATTTCACAATATAATTGCTCAAAGTCAAATTGATCCTTTGTGCCCCTCCTCACAAATCACTAAATTTTTTTTACAGGAGGAGTGCAAAACAAATTGAGCAGAGAGCACGGCGCAGTGAACGATGCAAACGACGAGAAGAATTTAAAAACAAGTATGTATTAAAATTGATTTAATATTATATATATTATAATATATATATATATTATATATATATACATATTATATATATATATATATATATATATATATATATATAGTATATTGTAAACCATCACTAATGATTTTTAATTCTAAAAGAATTACTTTTGATGACGTTAGATTTTGCTTCTATTGGGTTTTGCCAATCAAATCTTAAAAGACATAATAGCTGAATTGAAACATAACAGAAATTAAACATAATTTAAAATAAAATTAGTGACCGAAAAATTAATAAAAAAAAAGAGTGCGCGTAAGGATCACACGCCATTGAAGTAAAACTTATTTGCAATTATATTATAGCAAATTTAAGTTGAGTAAAAATAAATACATCATATGAACCTTTTGAATAATGTTTATTAGTAATATGGTAACACTCGTGATGCACACATTTATTAGTGTCGTCAATCATTATACATATTTATATAATGATAAATTATAAATTATATATTTATGATTACATTAAAAATATGTATAATATTTACAAACAATAATGTAATGAAAGTCGTACTTGAAATATGACATGATCGTTTTAAAGTAATTGCTGATTAATAAATTCTATAATATTCATTCACACAGTGGATTATGTTAAACAACGCCTAAACAACTATTGTTTTTGCAAATTAACTCATCCTGTCACAATTGTGTTTGAAGAACTTCATGTAATTAAAATTAACATACATTCATTTACTGTTTGTATTTTTTTACTTTTTCGCTGACGATATAATCTCATTCCTTGAACAGCTGTAATATCCGTCTTGTCTAACAAATTGAAGCCATACTTTTATATTTGTTTTATTTATCAAGCCCTGCACATAGCTTGATCTATGAATCATTTGCTTTTTTATGTGAACGTTAATGCAATGATCATCATCAATATTTCGAGGTAATAAATTAACCATATTATTAATGTCAACAGGCACATTTATAATTTGGCCAAACATTCCAAATTGTCCATTTGCATGTCGCAATCGTCTAATTTGCATGAAACACAACCTAGGTGAAATTAACCTTTCAGATACATTATTTAGTTTATATAGATAATTTAGTATAGGTGGAAATACAAACCCGTTAAACTTGCACAAAGTGGGAATTTTACCCGAATTTAATATCTTTCGACAAGTTTGACATCCAACCTGATTATTTAAATCAATATTCAAAAAACATTATTAAGAATTTGTTTTTGAGCATCATTTGATATTTCTAAGTCACTTTGAAGCCAAAGTCGATCACATACAAAACATACATAGCAATTAACCTTTCAGATACATTATTTAGTTTATATAGATAATTTAGTATAGGTGGAAATACAAACCCGTTAAACTTGCACAAAGTGGGAATTTACCCGAATTTAATATCTTTCGACAGTTTGACATCCAACCGGATTATTTAAATCAATATTCAAAAAACATTATTAAGAATTTGTTTTTGAGCATCATTGTGATATTTCTAAGTCACTTTGAAGCCAAAGTCGATCACATACAACATACATAGCCAAAGATCATTTCTTACGCAGCGCAGATTTTCCTTAGTTTCATTATTTATTTGCGATCATTTGCCTACAATTATTATGGGGGACGGGATAAAATATTCTTCCGATCCTGACATTTTTATTACTCACGAATTATACTGCTAACCCATGTCGCGCCTAAAGAAGTTTTACTTCAAAATGTTAGAGACCACGAGCTAAATACAAAACTCAAGTGAAGAGTCGACACATTTTGTTTTGTTTTTGACATATGATTTGACATTTGATGTATTTTTTTGTTTTGCTCGCAGACTAGATCGAATAATTGCGATAGCTGCGCTTACTAGCGTCGTAGTCTTCAACTTCACGTTGGCGTTTTCGTTGCATTTGTACGGATTTACACCCGTGTCGCGCCTAAAGAAGTTTTTACACCCATGTCGCGCCTAAAGAAGTTTTACTTCAAAAATTCCAAAGTTTAGATAGAATGTTTCAGATCGGTCTTGTTTGATCGGTAGTTTGTTGTTTTGTGGCGTACTCTTGCTCTTATTATGCAACTTTACTATCAAGACTCAAAAAATGTATATTTTAGCATCAATAGCATCATAGCAACAACCGTATCCCCAAAGCTCTATACCATATGTTCAAATAGAAAGTCTTGTGTTGTTTATTATCACCTTCTAAATGTTGCATTTAAATATTTATTATAAAAATATGCAGTCAATTGAAGTACGAAGAAAATTGTATGTTATTTAATATATAGCAAAAATAATAGTTTTTGTTTCCAAAAAATATAAGAGATATGTTTGTACCAATTTCATTTCTAATATTCCTCTGCAATATCTTAATTTTGTTATTAGATCTTGCCACCGATCTGAGTTAATATATATGGTTTTCTTCCTTTCAGGCAACAATTATCAATTCAATCAACCGCAGATTACAGCGATGGTGGCAGAAAAAGCAAGTCCATTCGAAGGATAGAACAGGGCACCAGAAGTCTTGGAGGCACACCGTTATCGTTAAGACGTCATGCACATTCTGCAGCGGCTGCCGATAAAAAGCAATATCATTCAACAAAGTCTCCAAAATTAGAGGTTCGATTAAATTTATTTGGTTTACGACACATATTTTAGTTTAAATGGTATTCATAGTACTCATTAGGGTTTGTCGGTTTTCAAAAACCGGTTTTAAAAAACGTTTTTTTGCGAAAATTATGGAATTCGAAAACCGGTTTTTTAGTGTTAAACTTAACAAAAAGAGTTTTAAACCCGTTTTTTAAAAAGAGTTTTTAAAAGAACAAAAAGCTCAGAATTATTATATCAGGCTTTAAAAACAATTAAGCATAATTTGGTCGCAAGTATGAGAGTATTTTTTATTTCAGTAGCAGTTCGATAGACTTTCTCAGTTTTTTTGAAATCATATTTTATTAAACAAAAAAAAAACAATTGGAATGTTTAAAATTAATTAATTAAAATTGCTCGGATCAGGCAATACTTGAGTTTAGCCTAATTATTTTTGAAACTAAAATTGATATTAACAAGTATGTATCAACATGTATATATATATATATATATTATATATATATATATATATATTTAAAAATGTATTGTTTTTATTTATTCGAAAACTTTCCTTTCACTATCATAAAAATATTTTCATTCTTATATGTGAAAATAATGCATGGATAACGAATGATTATTTTCAAAGTTATTTAATCAAATTAAACTATTATTTTTTAGCTCTACTAATTAAAATTAAAATAACTTTGTTTACTATCCATAAAATTGAGCAATAAATAAATTCAGTCAAATACTGCTCTAAATAACACAGCGGATGAATTACAGAATATTCGAGCAAAAATTTATTTATTTCTATTATATATAAAATTCGAAAACCGGCTAAAACCGGTTTTTTAGCAAAAATAAAATTCGAAAACCGGTTTTCAGAAATGTCGGTTTTTGTATAAACCCTAGTACTCATGCATATTTCATATAATCCCTAGAAGGAAGCTCAACTCTTTTTTACTGTACACCAGTATTATATAACTAAACTTACCAGAAAATATATTTGCACATAAATATTTCATATTCTATATTTGTATTAACAATATGAATTTATAATTATTAATATGGTATATTTGTTTGTTACTTAGGTCCGAACTAAGAAACGATCAAATTCTGTCAGTTTTGCTGAAGGAATGAGAAGGGATTTCGTTCGCAATAACCTTACAAATTGCGATTCCGAAATCGCTATAATGGAGGCCGATAAGGAAGCAGACCAGAAGTATAAAGAATTGATTTTAGAAGCCGAAAATATCCTTGTCAGTATGAAAAGTGCAACGCCATCACCACGACATAGGCCGATGCCCAATATACCAGCAAACAAACGTGTAGAACATTTACGGTCAACGGAGATAGATTTGGTATTTCTTAAAAATCGCGTTGAGGATGCATCGGTAACGAATAGTCCAAAAGCAAAGGCCTCACCAAGATTCAGTCCAAAGAAAAATCATATATCTAACTTTATAATAAGCAATTCCCCAGAATTAAGCAGAAAGGACTCAAGTGATTTCACTGTTAAACAAATTACAAATCAACATGCTTTGAAAAGTATGCCTTCTAATTTTGCTCCGGTATGCCCTAAATCTCCGGCAGTTATGAGAAAAATATATACTAATCGTTTGGGATTCAGTGACAGAAACTCCCAAGTTAAAGTGAATGGAAGAATTATGAACGAAGATAGTGAGACAGCTAAAAATGAAAATGCTCACAAAGAGAGGTTTAATATTCAATCACAGATGAAAAATTTACGCGTTGAAGACGATAGTGACTCGTGCGAAAACGATAAGAGCAATTATGTAAAATCTGATGCTGCAAGGCTGATGGGTGCAAATAATCAGATCATTGTGAAACCTGGTCTCGGACGTGCGAATGGAGTCCGACTGAATCTAGAATCGTCTAGCTCAGAATCTGACGGCAGACATCAAAAGGATGAATTCAAAAAGCATAAAAAACCGCCGTTAATATCTTTTAGCTCTGTTGATATGGGGCATAAAATTCAAGATACAGCGTATTGTCCTCAAAGCGAACCTGTTAAAAGAAAGGTTTATAATTGTAGCATGACATATGATCGAATTCAAAAAACCTTGAAAGAGCCTGAAGGAATAAATGCGCGATTACTGGGTGACGAAAATATTTTGAATGATGATACGGGTGAGATATGTAAATTATGCATATATTTGTATATATATATATATATATATATATATATATTATTTATTTATTTATACTAGATGACCCGACAGACGTTGTCCTGTACCCATGTCTACAACTTATATTTAATATTTACCGTTTACCTAAAAATAATAATTATTGTTTTTTGAATTACTCTTTACGCCAAAATGCGTATACGCTTATAATATGAGCGATGTTAAATGTAGAACTGCTTTAAATAAAATGCTGAGTCTCAATTCCCACACTATATTGGAAATTGAAGTCTTTTAAACGGTATACTCGTAAGATAACCATTACCATAGTATTACACCGGTACTTTAAGTTGGGTTAAATTAATTTAATTTTTTATTATTTATGATATCCAAAATTGTATCTTAAATTTCTCCTAATTGATATTGTGAGGGCCGAATTGTATGTCTTCAGCTTTACGTTCCCTTTGTTGTTATAAAGTGAAGTTTTTACGAATTTTAAAAATATTGTGGAAAGATTAGTAAATGATGCAAAGAAATTATATATTAAAAAAAAATATATTGAAAATTTAATATCCGAATCTTGTGCCCCCTAAAGCGTGCGCTCGAATTTTTTGCATGCATCGCATTTAAGGTAGGACCGGCCCTGATTAATACTAAATTTCATATTTTAAGTGAATTAATTTCGTCATATCATGTTCATATGTGTATCATTAAATCTGCCATACATATACTGTATCTTATATTATTTTAATTTCTGGCACATCTCAGTTGCTTTTTGGCAATAATAATATAGACATTTCTATTTCTAATTTATAATCATTTTTAATGCAATCAATAACATGTAGTTTTTTGCATTTTTTTCCAATTATTTGTACAATATTGCACATATATCCCAGTACTTTATAATCACATACATCCCTGAAAATTTTCTTAACAAACTTCAGAAAGATTTATCAAAATCCGAATAATAGTTTAGGAGGAGTATACAGTGAGTGCTTGTAATTTAATATAAACTTTATATAATAGCAATAAAACTCAAATTGATTCTACGTTTTAGTTAGAAACCGTTTGCATGTGAAAAAGAAAAGGCCTGTTTTCAGGGTTTTCCCGGCAATTATTCGATTTTTTCTCGCCGTAAGAACCATCTTTGGACTTTAACTAACATTTTAAAAAAAGAATTGGCCAAATTGGTCTAGACGTTTTTGAGTTATGCGCTTACAAACACATTTTACGATCCATTTTTATATATAAGATAAGCCCGGCTCCGGCAACCTGATATCGTGCAGCAGCGATGTCCATTCTCACTTGAAAATATATGATTTAAGCTGTCGACTAACAAATATTAAAACTATTTTCAAAAAACGTAAGATTTATCGCAAAAAACATGATTTTAACAAAAATATAATATGGTGAATTTGTAATAAGGTAAATAAGAATACTACACGGCGAAGTGACTCTACTGTTGGGGGCTTTAACAAGGCCATGACTACCATAGACCATATTTTAGCATCACTTTTTCAAATTTGAGATGTCATCTAGGCATTATTTTTGATTATAATGAAACATGGTCAGGCAGTGATCTATTCGTGATCAGATTTTTCGTTGGGCTTTTTATACGGCACGGTGTCCATACTGAAGTACACACCAAGGAGACCGTAGACACTTGTTCTTCAGACTCGTTTAACCGGTTCAGAGAATTAACTGAGGCTAATAGATCGTGTTACTATCAATTGCAGACTCTAGGGATGAAAACATGTTATCTCGTATAATCTATGATCTATATATGCGTATATTAGAGCTGAATAACTCCGGAGTTAATTATCCCCGGAAATATAACACTCATCTTGAAATTATAGCCAGAAATAAATCATATCCTCATATGTCTGACTTCTCTAACAGTTTTCTGGATCATTTAGCACGTACAGATGTTTGCTTGTGTCATTTTGCCACTACACGAAATAAGTGGTCGCATTATGACTTCACTACAGGCGACCCTTTCCTCTGTCTGTGTTTGTTCATTCCGTTTGCATACAAGATTCAATGTTTTCACAAATATAATTTTTACATTTTTTATTTTTCAAAATTATTACTCCGCGTCAATTGTTATCGGCGCGAAATAGGTATCCATCGTCGATGTCTTCAAAATTCATAAGTTTGTAATGTTATTTAAATGCCTTATATATAGAAGATTTAATGATTTTTAATTATTCTCATAACTTTGTGATTAAAAAGTTTGTATGTTCGTACGCTCTTTCATTCAGATGAAGTTCCATTTCAGAATATGTGTCAAATAATTTCATATGTTCAAATATCAATAAAATCAAAAGAAACACAATAAAGAAATAAGTTTGACCCTTTTTGCTTAATTTTATATTGAAATTATTTAATTATTGAGAATGTGCTCAAGGAATTTTTTATGACAGAATGTGCTCAAGTACAAAGTGCTGCACGGGAACAGGAAAGTCCAATATGACGGCCCGAGAAGCAAAGACTTTGCTAAAACTAGTGATTATAGAAAAATATTCAATAAGTTAAAGGAAGATTTCTCTAGTTTAATTATATACTCGTACTCGTATAGCTAATTTTGTCGTAAATGTTTTGGAAAGGAGATATTGTGAAAAACTGTTGACGCCATTTTTTCAATATGCCGGATCTTGTGACAAAAATTAGAGGTGGCAAAGTTGAATATCGTGAAGAGCACACCGAAAACTATAATATTACCCATTTTCAAAGCTCCCCGAAAATTTTTCATGCTAAACTAGAATGGACTATGTTAATATAAACCGAGTATAGTGTAGTTTTAAGAAAAATCACTTTATGGGAAGTGAACAAAAACGAAAGGTGAAACCATGGTGAACAGATGGCAACGCGTTCTACAGTAGATAAATATATTGATATTGGCATAGAAATTATATGCGTTAATAAGACCCGAGAAAAGACCGATCAGCATAATTCTTAGATTTTAAATTTGCGAGTAAATTTTTATTCAGAAGTTTAAAGCTATTCATTTTCCATTAGGGGGGAGTCTGCTTTAGAGGCTACAAAAAATCGATTTTTTGAGGAATTTTTAGAGAAGGAAATAAATATTTAATTGAAACGAAACTTTCAGGTTTCATTGTAATAGATTTCAATATTCTTCTCAAATATTTTCATTAAAATAAATGTCATAATATGCCAGTGTCGTGTGGAGGGAAAGATGCAGGTCACAATTTCCATCAGAAACGAAAAAAAAAAACAAATTAATAGTTTCAATAGTATAGATTCTAGTTAAATCTAAAAAACGGAAGAAAGTGAGAAATTCAACCATTTTTCGCTTTTGTGAAAAAAAAATCACTTTAGATTGTTCAAAAAGTGGGTTAATTATAACTTTTTTTAAGGTTTTTTAGGTTCAACTAGTAGAGAATTTAATTCTGAATACAATCAATTTTGTCTCATTTCGATAGGTCGTTAAGTTTTTTCCTATCTCTCCTGACAAGAAAATTGAAAAAATGAAAAACCGAGAAACCGCGCGTAGAAGTTTTCGTTCCGCTCATATACCTGCTCGACGCTTGCTCACTATTTCTTCTGTAACTCCGAAAATAATTTGAATTTGTTTCTCAAATTTTGGGGATATATTCTTGCATAGTTTGGGAAAACATTTTTGTTTAAAAAAAAAACGATTTTGTGAAGCCCCTAAAGTAGGCTAAACTTAAGCTCAATAGAATATATGAACTTATTTTCTAGGTAAATGCCACAATAACCTTCGAGTGAAAGTGGCGCAATTGCGCCGCGAACGACTCACAGCCGAGGCGAACGCGATGGGCTCCGCCGAGCCGAGCAGTTGCCTGCAGCAGCAGATCTCACAAATGCGACGGCAAATTCTGCTGCACACTCTGGAAGGCCTCAAACGAAGTTTGCAAGACCAGTCTGCGTCATTGCACACCAATTACTGCAAAGCAAGTAATTCAAAAGCTAAAGAAATTAACAATGAGTGAATGGTAGCATCGAAAGTGTTTTTTATAAAAATTTGCATGGGTTTAGATCGATTATATGATCTTTTAAACGTAAGTAAAATATGATGCGGCCTTGTATATAATGTGGGTGTATAAAGTAGTATTTTTATTATGAGAACATTCATGACAATACTTATGAAAATGATAATGATAAATATTTTGAGCCTGGAAGTGGTGAGTCTGATTAAGTATCTAAATGAATTTTAGTTGATAACTATTGAAATAACGATATATGTTAAATTTGTGGTATTCCAAACTAGTCAAATAAAATAGAAATAAAGTTTTTATATGAATCTGTGCGAAAAGTTATAGTTCTAGGTAATAATGTGATTATTATTGATTCGTTAATGAAGTTTGATGCGTATGAATTTTGTTATGTTTATTACAATTGCTTTCGTTATTTTTTGTGTAATAGTTTTAATCTATTACTATTTATTAGGCTGCGCATTCAAAATGTTAAAGGCACTATTTATTAAGCTGCGCAATTAAAACTGTTTAATTGTATCGACAGCACAATTTATTTATAGAAATGATTTCATATTTAATTTATTATTAAATGTAATTAAAACCCTCGTCCAAAAATACTAGCAAAAATAGGTTAATATTTAAATTAAAAATAGCTAAAAAATAATTGACTCAAACGTTTTTCTTTTCACAATAAAATTAATAGCCGGGTTGCGAAAAATATTTAATAAATGAATCAAAGTTGCAATATTAATAACTACTTTATGATGTATTTTAATGGCATAAATTTAATAGAACATATATAGAAAAATAATATATTTCTATGAAGAAATTATATCTAAGAACTATATATTAAATTATATTTTATTCATGGGTTTGTCTAATGATTTATGAGTAACATACGCATAAGCATGTGTTCATTTTTCTCGTTTATATTTCACAGGGATCAAATAATTTATGACCGTAAAATCAAATATAATTTCATTCATTCCGAAAGTGCACACTGTTTGTTTGACCTATATATTATAAAAATATATTAGAGGTCTCGGAAGCGGGTTCAGTACCAAGTTGGGGAGACTGGGTACGGTTATGCCATTGTTTCTTTGATCAGCATACGTTTTCGATAAATTGTCTACGAAAAAATCAATTGCTGGAAATTAAATACTAATGTTCAACTCACAGCAAAATAACAAAGTGATCTATTTATATACAAGTTCATTAACAAGAAACTTACATTTGGCTTTATAAAAGCATTGCGGTATATAGGTCATGTTAGTGTATGGTACTGAATCAATACAATAATGTAAACTTGTTCCAACAAACATACTTCATCTTTCTCCTTTTGGATTATATCTCAAAATCAGTATAGTTTTGCTTTTATGATGACTGTATTACTATCATACCCCGGCACAACCGTACCCAGTCCCCCTAGTGAGCTGTTTCAATTTCACACCTAATATAAAAATTATTCGGAAATTGTTTGGGTTCTCCATAATTAAACAAACAATGTGTATTGAAGAAGAAAGAGCTTCAGTTCTTTGAATAATTGCTGTAGCAGCACAAAATTTTAGCAGAATTTCTATACCATCGTTTAGATAAGAATTACTTCAACAAACGTCTTATATGGTAACAGATTAACTTCAGTTGCTACACAATTGAATAATATATAATGAATAAATATATTCCCGAACAAAGATCTAAATTCGCCTAATTCGATAAGTTCATTTATCACATTATTTGAAAATTAATAATGCTCCAATATTTTTTAAAATTAATTATATTACTTCAATATCAAAATGAAGCCTCATGCTATGTGTCTCTGTTATCATATTTCTTTATTTTTGACCATGTTTTAAAGTACAATTATTTTCAAATTGAATTAAAAAAAGTAATAAAAAGCGATCCAGAATATTATAAATATTTTAATTTTATTTTTTTACAACTGTATTGCATAATATAATGTTGATTTTCATTTGAAGCGGGTTTATGTATTTTAAATATGAAACGCCACTTAATAACAAAATTAATTATGTTTTAAATCAATAATAATTTAGTTCAATAATTAAATTTGAACTAAACTCGACTTAATTCGAACTGAACCCGAGTCCTGAAATCGACGGTTCTTAAATAGCGTAAATATATATATTTTTTAATATATATATAAATATATTTTCTATACATACATATATATGGTTTTTTTTATATTTACTTATTTAAATTATTTAAATTCGTTAAGATAATTGGACAATTACGACTTGAGCATATCAAAATGGAAGAATAATTTAAATATTGTCATTCAGAAATTCACGAATTTTTAGTTCATTTCATTATGATAAATACGACGTGTTATGAAATACTGATTTTGCAATAAAATATTCAACGATTTGCAAGGAATAATTAATTTCAATCATAAAACCAGAATGTTATTTTAAATACTAAATTTACAAGTCATCATTTTTATCATTTGTTTCGAATCTTTTAGAAGAAAAAAATAATAAAGCAAAAAATTCAACAACGAATTTAATATTATATACCACTTCCATTCTAGGGCTAAGTCATATATTCATATGAAATAGTTCCTTAATTATAATATATGTAGTCAAAAATAGTTTGTTAGTATTGAATGTGATAGCAAAGTATAATACACATTCCATAGAAACATTATTCATAGAATATTATTTGTAATAACTGTAGTACATAAATAGCTATAATAACCATAACAATATTATTAATAATATCTTTGAGGCTTGAATGCACATGTACTCCTGGTAAACAATCAGTCATTGAATAAAAATTATTTATGTTTCTACAATGTAAATCTGTAATATCAAAAATAATATTGATTATATAAATATCAATTACTAAATTACACTCTCTTAAACTCCAAAGTTGCATGTGCATTTCAAGTCTAACAATAGCGTAGAAAAATGTTATTTTTACTTTGATATGATGTTGAATATTTTAGACTTTTGAAATAGTTGGAACATAAAACGCAATTAGCATGCAAATATTAAGTTTTTCTTAAATCTTTGCAGCACTCTTCTTTTATACAACTGCTCCACATTTCGATACTCGCCTTTTATCTGCTGTTCTTAGATTCCATATCTCTGATACGTACAGGATTATTGTAGTATTTTAACCCTTTCCACTCACGAATTGCGAGATTAATATGTATTTTTGCAGCATCCGAGTGGAAAGGGTTAAAGTTTCGTTTGCAAATCTAATATGTTTGCTTGCAAGTACCGCCAACTTTTTCGTAATTGCCACTTTGAAGTTGAAGGCCTTTGCTTTGATTTCTACCCCAGTCAAATAAAAGCAAAAAAAGCCGTAGGTTAGAAATAATTCGTATAGAGCTCATATTGTGCATCATATAATGATACAATGTATGAGGAAACGGAAGTTCATCTTTCATTTTTCATATGTTGCCACCAGAACCTGGCATATTTTACTATCTAAACACAAATTAATGGATTTTTATATTATTTATTTATATTACACGTTCGATGCATAAAAGCTATATATCATGAGAAATATGGATTTCTCATGAAATTTCTCTTTTTTTTAATTCTCATGGATTGGTATTTCTCATGGGAAAATGGGAAATTTTGTACCTCTGATCTTGACTACAAAAATCGTAGAGGTTGGATCTTTGGGCATACGATTTTTAATGGTCTGTTTAACGTCTGTATCAATTTTGATAAATTTTCTTTTTATTTTAACGTTCCAAATCATTTTTCTGTGCGAATTATTCCTAACTTAAACTCTATTTTGACTGGGGTGTTCTGTAGTTTCTTAAGAGAAAATGCTTTCTTGAAGTGGCTTGCAACTTCTTTCTGCCTCAACATTTTCGATTTATCGACGTTGATTTCCATTTTCCATGTTTTTTTCACTTCAACATCATGTTCTGTTATTTGAATTTCTATTTTTATTATTAGTGATAATTTACCTTCCAATCAAAATATTTTCAGCGCTTTCGAAGTCCTGAACAATCATTCTCTATTAACAAGATCGTTGACATGCACAATTCTTGCCGCAAGCCTCCTTGACTTCCACAGGATTTCCACATTTTCCTTGAATCAATCAAACATTGTTTTTCTGTTTCACATATATGTTTTAAATCTGCTTGCTTTATTTATAGACAAAGCCATTATCGTTGTCTTAGTAAACGCTTTTTGTATCAATGCCCAGACGTCTTCGTTGACATCCTTTCTTATGAATTTGAATTGAATTCTATTGAATATATTTTTTGATATTTTCTGAGAATGGTTTATGTGGACAAAACTATTGTGTTCTTGCCATTTTTCTTCAGACTTGATCCAGGTTTTCTAACGAATAATAATTGCTGGAGGCTTTAGAAATAACTACAACGTCGCAATACCATATTCTCATACACATAGATGGCCCCTTTTTCACACATTTCTATTTTTGACTCTTTTGCAATTGTCTTGCAACTATTGACTGCCAACAGCAAATTTTGTATAGTTCCAATGCAATTGCTCACTTCCATTAATAATTGAAATATTACGATTAGTCTATTTAACTTCACAACTATATTAAATACTCTAAACTATGTTTCATGAAATTTTAAAGGTCCAAAATTGATGCAGAACACGAAACACCTGAATTGTGCAACACATGGATTTTAAATTACAATTTCAAAAGACAAAATAATTAGCGTTTATGTTATATGATATTATTAATCCTGGCCAGTATTATACTGGTTTGACAAAAATGTATTATTGATATTCTAGATAATGAGATTACTGTTATAACCATAAAAATTATGACGTTGAAATCTTTTCTAGTTATATTTTTATGCTGTTGATTTTTTTTTATTAAATTCCAAAGATATTAATTATTTAGTTAAATAAATAGAAGCGTTATGTAGTAGCATATGTAGAACTCCTGTATCAATACATACATATTATTTGTAGTAAAAATACATTTACAGTAAAAAAATGTTTTTTTAAGTATGAATGAAACTAGCAGGTATTATAACTATACACCTATCCTCCGTT